TGATTAATCGTTACTAAAACAAACACTAAACTCTTCTTTATTCTCTTAACTCTAGATTACTGATTCTAAATCCTCCTTATCTAAAGTACACAAACTATAAGTGTTGTGTTACTAAGTCTCGGATTAGTCTCAAACTAGAGGTTCTCTCTTTTATAGAATTGATTTCCTCTTTAGTAAATACAGTTCTTCTATTTGGGTTCGTTGTGTTGATTCAACCACAAGTTGGTTGTCTCTTTTCTTGTTGAGAGTGAGTTCTTTAGTTAGTTAATGAAGAATATAATCACAAGTTGATTGTTGTTTCTTGTTATGTAGACAAACACTCACAAATTCTAACACATCTTTATCTAGAGACTGCACGAGTTCATCTTCTTGACCATACCACTCTGCTCCATTGAACGTATTTTCCATATTCTTGTCATGCTCTTAAGATTTTAGATATTTTAACCTCATAATACAGTCTTCTTTTGATCTACCAAGTATACTGCTCAACTGAGATGGTGGAGTTCCCTGGGCATCGAGAGACTGAAGACGATTATCTTCTTGACTTGACCACATTCTTCCTTTGTAATCTATAGATTTGCGCTTCCTTTGTAATTTGTAGATATGCGGTGAGATTTCACAAAGTTATTTGATTCTCGAAATTGGGAAGAACAAAAGAGAGAAAGAGATGTTGGCGGGGAAGAGAGAGACGATAGCAGCATTAATTATCTTTTAGTGTTATTTCTTTTATTCAGGTGAATTTCTCAACTTCAACTGGTGTCTCACACCAAATATTCAGCTGAATTACTCAACATTCCTCAATTCGTCATACACCAGTTAGTAGAATTGGTATGGATGCAAAATCTGATGTCAACACGAACTTGGATCAATTATTAGAATTTCGTCTGTATTAAAAAAAAGTCATTTTAACTTTCTATTGCTACTCTCATTTGAAAAAAAAACTTATTATAAGGAATATTTAACATAGAACAAACATCTAGTCTAATTTTGTTTTTACTTAAAACATATGTATAACTCAAAAATTTTAAATGACTTCAAAGAATACTTCTTCTGTTTCATTATATTTGATGTTTTTAAGAGATTTTTTTTTTTCATTTTATTTGATGTTTTCAGGTTTTTATGTAAAATAAATTATGTTTTTGACTGTTTAAATTCTGCAGATTACTTTTTCATTTGTTAAATTGTTTTAGAATTGATGATAAAACATATCTTATTT